AACTTTATGCATGTGTTATATGAAGCATTGTGTTGTGCCATGTGCTGATATGAGTTGTGATGTTCATGCTTGATATGATCAAAACTTGTGAAATATGATATTTGTGTATGATATGAGATGCTTATGTGTAATGTGTGAGAAGATGTATTACATAAGAGTTGTTCTTTGACTTGAGAACCTTGCATGCAACGTTTGAGATGTTTGACATACTATGAGACGATGTTGATATAAGGAAGTCCATGTAGTGGGAAAATCTAAGAAAGGTTTGGTCGTTTGATAAGCTCAGATATTGAGGCCTGACATTGTGATGGAAATGTGATGGTGTTGAGCATTCACATTTGTTTGTGTTTGACGTAATATGCTTAGAGTTCATGCATACATGCGTAGTTTGTCTTGAAGTATATGTATTTCTATGTATGAGAGTCTTTATGGTCTTCTACCTTAGCCTTAAAGGTGTTATGGTAGGAAACCTCTAACACTAGGAGGCAACCATGCGCAGTTGTGATACCCTAACTGACTACTAGAATTCCTTCTAGTGAAAGTCAACCATGTTGAGACATGTGCCCATGGTGTGGTAGCCTTGTGTTTTGTCCATGTGCTCCTAGACTGCTTTGACTTTGAATACCTTGTGCAATTCTGAGACAAGTACCACATGTATATAGAATTAAGAGCATGAGTATTTAAGTTGTGAAAGTGTGTGATTTGAGATAAAATTATTGAATGGACTGTTGAGATTGAGATAAATGTGATGAGATGTGGTTGTCGTGTTTTAGTTACCATCCATATTTCTTACATGTGCCTAAACATCTGTGGGGTGTATTGTCACTTACGTTTGTTAATATTTATCTTGTTAGGGTGGACACCAACTGTATGATCATGTTTATGAGTTCGAGCCTTAGGGAGGTGAAACTCAATAGTTTTGATGGGAGTTGCTCTGATTAGTGTTTCATTGGGACTAGTGGGTAGCTTATATTTTGTTTATGTTTTACTTTGAGAATATTGTTTTAGAACTTGAGTTTCTATTATCATGCTTAGTATTTATCCTATTTTGAGAACTTGTAAAGGCAATTATGCCTAGTTAGTTTTTTTTCCCAAACTCATTTATTAATGAAATAACATGAGGTCTTATTTAGTGACATAAGACGTGTGAATCCTTTTACCTTGCCTGAAAAATTATTTTAATTTTGAAAAGTAACACATTTCCTTAGTAATACTATATTAAAATGATTTAGGATAGAAAGGTGTACATTTAGTGGTATCATAACAAGTTTGTTCATTTGGCTAATGTGTTATATGTCTTCCATGTTTCTCTAGTGTGATTCATGAAAATGTTTATTTGATTTGAAAATCTTTGCTTGTTTATTATGCCAAAGGTCCTAGTTGCTTTGTTATAATTTATTAAGACTGGCCTCCATAATACATTGTGCACCGCAAATAGGAAACTTGATGAGTCCAAAACATGTGATTAAAGGCATTACCCCTTACATCTTTTTATTTTCGTAATCTAGTTAGCTTATTTCAAGAATGTGTTTTCTGATGGATGAACTTTTCTTTAACAAACTTGAGTAACTTGTTTATTCTCTTGTTTGTGCAGTTTGAGGAATATTTCCTTTAACTTTTTTCCCTTGATTTTTGAGAATTTTGATATTAAATTAATGTTGTTAAACTTGATTTAATGTTGTTGTGTTGCTATGCTTATTTCGTTGTTGTTTACTTTTGATGCGATCTTAATAGTTTAAGGTAGTAGATGGCTAGTAAGGACAAGTGTGTGAGGGTTGATACTTCACAACCTATGACATGGACTAAGGGGAATTAGAAAGCAACAGCTTGTGTTGAGAAGTTGGAAGAAAAATTGAAGACCCTTTCATGCTACAATTGTATAGTAGATGATAATTTTGCAATGGAAGAAAACGTAGTTGATCAAAAACCAAAGGAAAAACCTTCGTTTTGAGTGGTATTGAAGTCCCAAAATCTAATAACTTGACCCTAGGCATTTTTCTCACTTATGAAACTCTTCAGGTTTTATTGATTGATTCTAGTACAATCTATTTGTTCATAATCTCTTCAATATTTGATTAATCATATAACTTGTTCATAATCCAAGGTGTTTGGACCTTACCGTTATGTTCACTTAGCAAATTTTGACAAAATCTTGTTTCCACTGATTCACTAAGTGGATTCAACAAAATCCAAACACTACTCGAAAATGTAAATTAATGATTAGATGTAGTGACTGATCGAAATATATTCGTCTTTAACTACTGACCAACTCAACAATGGAATAACTATTTGATCTTTACAATTAATCAATAAATGACTTAGTGACTATCAAATGTTGGTAACAAGATATAACATCCTAATTTTCAAAATAAAAATAAAGTTTTTTAAATAAGTTTTATATTATGGACTTAATTAATTTATTTAACTGGGTTTATAATAAAAATAAAGAACATTTTAATAAATAAAATAAAAGAATATAGGTAGTGGGTTAGAAAGGAGTCTTTGAGTTGGACCTTTGAGCCCAACTCGGAGCCTTATTAAAAACAAGAAAAAAAAGGGTTAGGTTAGTTTTGCGCGTCTATTTTGAACCTAAAAGTTTTTGTAGAGGAAACTCTAAAAGGAAACCCCAAAGAATGTGTGGAGTAGTTACTGAGACAACAAAGGAGTGTTCTTGTGCCTTAGAGATCGCCACCTGAGGTAAGAAAGGAAGTGAGACTATCTCATTTGTGGGCATGTAAAAGGGTTATAGATAGTGAGGCGACCCTTGAGTCTCTATAGGATTAATAATTGTATGTGTTTTAATGAGAATGCTACCACATGCATATATAGATAACAACATTTGCAATCATAAGTCTTGTGTTTGAGATTGAGGTTTGCTTGGAGTTTATTGTTGATGTCTTAATATAAATGTTGTGAAGTACAAGATTTATAGTGTCGGGCTCACATTTAACGCGTGTGGGCATGATGAGTGCGGTTCAACGTGTTGGGCATAGAGAGGGTCATTCTTGACATAGGAACCACAGATAGGTCCCTAACCTCTCTATGTTGGGTCGGGGGGTTGTCTCACCTAAGGTGATTTGACGTAAACATTCGAAGGGATGACGTTGGGTATGACTAATATCACACTAGGTGTAAGAACAATAGAGGGATTCCTGTTCGCTTAACATTAGGTGTGGAAGTAGCCACGTTAGGCACGAAAGAGACAGGGAGGTTTTTTACCTCTTTGTGCTTGGTGTAGGAGTAGCCACACTAGGCGTGAATGTGATAAAAGGTCATTAACCTCTTTGCATTGGGCATGAGCTTTGCCTCGTCGAGTGCCACATCAGTGATGAGGAATAAAGTGAGTTTTACGTGTAACAAATAATAGAATGAGAAGTGATATAATTAGAAATTTAAAGAAGAGAAAAAACGAGTGAATAATCGTGGGTAAATATTTAAAAAGAATAAAAGAAATAGAGTAATGATAGGGGAAGAACAATAGAAAGAAAAAAAAACAAGATAACTATAATTGAGTAATTAAGAGGGGCAGTAAGAGTGATGAAATAGATAGTAAGAGTGTAAGAGTTGATGATGATGATGAGATGAGTAAGTCTTGGTAGAGGCATGATGGTGGTGAAATCCAGGTAGAGGGTTGGTATCTTGTGAAAAAGTCCAGACAAAGACGTATGGCAAATGGATGTGGCACAATAAATTGCATTGTTTTTTGTGTTGATAATGTTGTGTGAGATCATCCATATATTCATTCATACTTTCTTTAGGAAGTGGTGTGAATATGTGCAAAGTGGTATTTATGGTCTTCTATCGTATCCTTGGGGAACATTATGGTGATGTACAAGAGTGAAATACATTCTCACTCATCTTGCTTCTGTTTTTTGTTTTTCTGGTTTGGGTTGAACATCATGCACCCATAGATTAAGTATATGAGTCTGAGCATGAAGGAGATGGAGCTTGATGCTTCAATTTAATTTATGGATCGTGCACTAATAGTGTAACATAGTGGGTAGAGAATATTATAGTATTATCTTTAGACTTAGAATCATTTTATGATGTTATTTTATTTTGGAGTTTTGTAAAATGTTGATTTGTGTCTTCATTTATGAATTCTTATTTTATTTTATTTTTTACTCAGAAGATTTTAATTGAGACATATGAACCCTTTTATTTTATGTAATAATAAAGTTGTTTTAATTTTTTTAATTAAACATATTTTCTTAATTTTATTTATATGAAGGCTTTAGAAATAGAAGGGTGTCACACAAGATAGTTGGTTGCTAAGTTTGTGACTATGCAATTTTTTTTTTCTGAGAACAATGTTTGCAACCACGCTAACATGTCTACAATTGAATTAAAAAATATTGCAGTCACTACAAAAAATATTCCATATAGTGACATACAAAAAGTGTCACTATAGGTATAATATATGTAAGTATATACCTATTTCACATATAACTACATACAATTTTAGTGTTGATTTTGAATGAGATTTAACAACATATTTTGTGTGTCACTATAGTCTATACCTACACTTTTTAACAATATACCAACATATATTACATTTGTTATGTAGGTAAAAGTAGTTTTTAGTGACACGCATTATGTCACTATAGAGTATGTGTCACTATATGACAATTTTCTTGTAGTGAGTGAATAGTATTATTAGCTTCTTGTACTTTCTCAACCCTAAACCCTATATATATAGAGAGAGAAAAGAGAGAGAGAGAATATATGATAGTACGTTACTCAATTATGTCCCTAAAATTTAAGTATAATATATAAAAGATTTTCAAAAGTATCTTTGTACTTATTTTTTCATTTTATTCTAAACTGATAAAGCATCTCAAGTTGCAAACAAGAAATGACAAACATTAATCGTCAAAATCAAGGTTAACGACTCAAAAGAAAAACATTCTTTTTATCAACTATAAAAAAATTGAATTGTGTTATACTCTTTTGTGAAAATGATTATTATGTAATTAATTAATTTATAATTTTTTTATCAGGTGGAAACCTATCTGGTGGAATAAACAATGATGCCATCATATATTACAACAACCTTATCAATGAACTTATATCTAAAGGTTTGATATCCTTGACTTACTCTTCATTTTTTTTTCCATTATTTGAGTATATAATTTATTTATGCATAACATATTGTAAATATATGTGAAACTTATTTATGATATAAATTTGGTTATATTACCTTAAACGGGAATGCTTCCTAACACATTTTGAATATTTTTACATATATATGTTTTTTTTTTGTGTGTGATACCTTTTACTCGTATACCATAACTTATAATTAATATAAAATTAAATAATTTCAATGTGATAAAATAAACTTAAAATTCATGCAAGTAAAGAGAATCACCTTATTAACGTAAACTAAACTTGATGGAAATAATAAAATTATAGGTAATTGAAATCAAACTAGTCAATATAAATAATATAAATCAAATCTTAACTAGTCCTAACTAAATTCTGGTATTAAGTGTCCTATCAGAGCAAAATCTAACATTGAAAACTAGTCTTCATCACCAACATCCTCAACACCATATTGATGACCTACAACAACCAAATGAAAACAACACAAAAGGAAATGGAGTGAGAAACATCTCACTCTAAGTCACAGTATAGGAATGCAAATTAACTAGTCAAATACAAATAACACATACAATTAGATATAACATATACACAATACACATTATCATCATCTTTGGTTCATTCATGGCATTGAAACAAAAATAGATACAATTATAATGTATTATGCAATAGATACGGACTACATGTTAACATGGATGTTACACTAGTAAAAACTCACACTTGTGCATTTTCGCTAATAATACACTAGAATAATCTAGGAGTACATGTCAGGTCACACCCTCTACATACTCTCACTAGAAGGACATATATTATCAGGATCTTTTCAAGATGGCCAAGTAGGGCAAGATACATCCCATGCTCATAAGGGTAGGACTGTGACTTCCAAACTAAGTTATCTCCAATGTTGGTTTCCAAGCTTTTATACAAGAGACCCTCCTTAGTAGTGTATTCTATATTGTACTCTTTAATAAAACACTTTTATGCACATGATGCATATCAAACAAACTCTATGCATAACATTATTTCACATTATCTCATTAATTCACTGTCAACTGGTCTCATATAATAAAATCATCAATCATTCTCAATATAGAAATTAACAATTCAACTATATCAATTAAATATTAGCAATCAATGGCATAAGGGATCATACCACTACAACTCATACTTAGCTCAAAAGCATATCAATAGCACATTCACATACTACATTTCCATAATTTAATCTTCTAAGATATTGTATGATCCAAACACCTTAACTAGAGTTATCAAGTTGATCCTAATAATTTTATTAGAAAGCTAAGATAATTATCTTCAACTTCTATGTTGACTTCAAGAGTTAATTATGTATCTACTATTTTAAATAAATATAAAATCACAATGTTTCAGCCTATATCTGACTACTTGACCTTCGTTCACTAATTTGATCATAACTAGAGTTTTAGACCTCCTTTTTAGGTGATTTTAACGATATTTAAAAGTTAACATTAAGATTACAACCTTCATGAAGGTTACAATAGCCAATTCGTCCATCTACTCACTTAAGGGAGCCAATATTTTTCTTAAGCGAGATTACTCGCTCAAAGCGAGTATTGGGTGAGATTAGCTCGCTTGGAGCAAGATAAAACTCGTTTAAAACGAGCAACATCCGAAACTCTTTGGCAGGCCTCGCTTGAGTGAGCTTGAATTTGCTTGAAGCGAGATAGATTCGCTTATAATGAGACTATGGTTACTTGAAGTTGGATAAGACAGTCTCGCACACAAAATTATATTGTTTATGGATTTCTAACCATCCCTACACCGTTCCCTAACATCTCCTACCCAAATCCAATCAATAAGAACTCTCCATAGGTTACATTACACTTCTAAAAGACACAATTTACACATAGAAACATACTCATGTCATCTCCTCATACAACTACTAATGCATTCCCTTAGGATTTCCCGTATGAGCTCATAGGAGCACTAAAATAAATAATTACAAGCCAAACTGAAAAATTACCAACACATTCATATTAATTACATCAATCAGAACATATAAGGAAAAACAGAGAAAATAAAGACACATTTGGGGAAAACTCCTTCATACATAGACATACCATAGAGACAGAATTGGGGTCAATCTCATTATCTAACATACGTTCTTACGCTCAAAGCGAAGTTTCTCACCCCCTACCTGATCAATAAGCACTGGACGATGGGTATATAACTCTAGAGTGATTCCCTTCTTGCTCCTATTCTCTGAGCTTTGAAGCACGAATGCGTGCGTGAAAAATAAGAGAGTATAAAAACTTATCGGAAATCTTTCTTTTTAAAAGTTTAACCTCTTTCTAACCTTCTAATTAAAACACTTAACCTTAGTTACTAATTTCCTTCCCTTTTAATTTAAATAAATAAAACCTTTAATAATACAACTTATATATCCAAAATATATCAAATAATTAAATAATTATTTAATAATTCCTATTAATTAAAAAAAACAGGTGTTACATGTTGACTCAAGTGCGGGTGTTGTGAAAACATTATCTATATTTTATTAAATGTTTAAATTATTTAAAAGATCATTGAATGACTTTTTCTATTTTTATATAAGAATATTTCAAATAACACCTTGTATTTTTATCTATTAATTATTACGTGTATATGAGCACATGTTGAAATATATTTATTTCTACATTATATCCTATATAAACTTATTCATTAAATTAAATCAAGAAGGATGGAAAACTTGTGTTGTTTCATGGCACATGGCCTTTAATTTGGTTCAGAAAAAAAAATAATAATAACGTAAATTGTTTCAACAGGTTTGAAGCCCTTTATAACTCTATTGCATTATGATCACCCCCAAAGCTTAGAAGATGCATATGGCGGTTTTTTGAGTCCAAAAGTAGTGTAAGAAATTCTATCGAATAGTGATTAAAACAAGTACTCCATTTCATAAACCAAATATAAATGAGTGTTTGCATTGTTATCAGGAAGGATTTCGTGGACTATGCAGAGGTGTGCTTCAAAGCATTTGGTGACAGAGTAAAGTATTGGATTACAATAAATGGACCATCAATTTTCTCTGAAAATGGTTACACAAATGGGAAATATGCCCCAGGAAGATGTTCAAACTGGTTGCATTTTAATTGTTCTGGTGGAGACTCTGCTATTGAACCCTACCTTGTTACCCACCATCAGCTTCTTGCACATGCTGCTGCTGTCAAAGTTTACAGGGAAAAGTACCAGGTCATTGCTTAAATTGTGCATGTTTTATTAACTTACATGTACTACACATTACAAAATTGAAAACCAAATATATACATTAAAAAAATGCATGATATTCCATGCTTTACAAGAAAAATTGATATATACTAATAGAAAAAATGTTACTGCCTTTGTTTGTATGTACAAATCCTTTTGAGATATTTATTTTTCCTTTTTTTGTACAACTTCTTTCAAATTGTTCCATTTATTATTTTTTAACCAAAACATTATTAAGTATTTTATAACATTTTAGTAAAATAATAAATGCTAATTAAAAGTTGTTTCCTTCTCTATCTTAAGAGTATAATGGGGAAGATTATTTCAGATTAAGATCCTCAGTAACCTCTCCAAGAACATTTTCTCTCTAGCAATAATATTAACTGTTGATCATATTTTTTTCTCTTTTTTAATTGTTCAAGTAAAAGTAATTACCAATTAAGAGTTCAAATTTTGCCGGATAGTGAGTACTTGGGACATAATTTGTTGGAGAGGATCCAATCACCGTAATTCCATAATCACTATTCTCTTTCCACATATTAATTTATTTGGGGAAAAAAAGTTATATCATTATTCGCAATAATTTTAAGGATATTTTTTTTTAAAAAAATAATATCTATTAATAAATTTAATGTCACTAACTAAATTAATTCATTTTTTTAATTTCATTAAATTGCTTTAAAATATTTTTGTATTAAAAAATTCAAGGTAGTAATCTTTATTAGTATAGCTTTTATACAAAAGTATAATGCTGATTAAAATATTAATAGTATAATGTATCGATGGTAAGTTTGAGTTCTTCTTTGTAGTGTCATTTTCATCCTAGAGTACATAATGGTTCAATGTTCACGTCGTTTGATGGATTTCCATATTCTAATATGGATTATTTCTTTCAGATTACACAAAAAGGACAAATTGGGTTAGTTCAAGCCATTGACTGGGTTATACCATTAACCCAATCCCCATTAGACATTGATGCTACATTTAGGGCTAGAGCTTTCAAGTTGGATTGGTAACTAATAATGCTCAAAACAACTTTCTTTAGTGGAAAGAAAATATGAGTGCAATATAATGTTCTTACCATCATTTATTTGGTGTTAAATATGACTTTAACAATTTTGATTACCAGGACTATGGAACCGTTACGATCTGGTTCATACCCAATTGAAATGGTTCACTATGTGGGTGAAAAACTGCCAAAGTTTTCTAAAGAGCAATCAGATTTGGTGAAAAATTCTTTCGATTTTATAGGCATCAACTATTATTCAACAGCTTATGCAGCTGATGTTGAATGCACAAGAGAAAACAAATCCTACTTCACAGATTTCTGTGCTGAGATTACTTGTAAGTTGTTATGAAATTGAAATTGTGCTTTATGATAATGTTCTTTCTTAGTAACTTTTATAGTCTTCTTGATACTAATAGCTTTACATTTGCTTGTGTAAATGATGTATCAGTTGAGCGTAATGGAATTCCTATTGGGCCAAGGGTAAGAACAAAAAACTAATGTGCATGAAATTACATCACTCACAATACAATCAATGATTTTTCCTTGTTAAGTTTTAATGAGATGAAAAAAATATTTCTATTAGTTATATAAAGATAAACATTTCTATTATGATAGAGATAAGATTGTGATCTATATCAACTGATAATTCAAATTCATATAATTGTCATTAGTTAGACAATTATCTTACTACATAACCTTATAGAAGTTTTTCTTATCAGTTTGTTTAGCTTGTCTATAAATACATAGCCATGTAAATCTAAATTCAAGATAGAGAAATACAATACAATTCTCTATTGTATAATTTAATAACTTTGCATATTAGATCATCCTATTAAAATTTTAAAAGGCCTTACCATGTAAAAATTCCAATCTATTTTTCTTTATTTATGTTGAGAACTTACAAAGTCCCACTAGCTTATTTAATGAAAAAAGAGATAAATACACAATTTTCTCATTACAAAGTCATGTGAAACGTGTAGATTAACAGATAAAATTTTGAATTTCTCATTTTTCTTTTGTCAGTATAGTTAAAGGAAATAGAAATTTTCACTCACTAATTTATGAATGCATGACTTACATAAATAATTTGGCAGGCTGCCTCGGAATGGATATACCTCTATCCAAAAGGAATCAAAGAAGTATTGCTCTACTTTAAGCATAAATTCAACAATCCAATCATATACATTACAGAAAATGGTATTTCAAAATTTCCAGAATAGTTATTTATTCATTATGATGTAGTAGATTGGTCAGTTACATAAGAGATATAATATCTTTTAAAACTATACTAATGAAATTATTTGATATAATTTGAAGGTTACGATGATTTTAATGATGGAGAAGTATCACTCAAAGACCAAGAGAGAATAGACTGCCACATTCAACATCTTTCTTATGTTCATAGTGCTATATTGTAAGTATATATAATATATAATTCATGCAATCTAGCAAGAAAAAGGTTTGATGTACTTTATTTGGGTTTTAAACTTTTGAATTTGGTAGGGATGGAGTCGATGTGAGAGGCTACTTTGCATGGTCACTTTTGGACAACTTTGAATGGTCAGATGGTTACACAGTTCGGTTTGGAATTGTTTATGTTAACTATACGAATGGATTGAATAAATATCCAAAAGACTCAGCTAAATGGTTTAAGAGCTTCCTCTCTCAAGAATTTGAATCCCAATGAACATATTAATGAATAGAAAGAACAAGTGGTTTGCACTTACACAAGGGGTCCTTTATTTTTTCTCTTGTATAAGAATAATATGCGAATTAAACACCATCAATATGTCACATTTATCTTTGGATGTGAACACCCAATTTCTTCCATTTTTCTAAATTTTATTTGTTTATTTTGTTCAGTCTTTAAATTTTAGTTCATTTCCTTATTTTCATTTTTTTTATATACACGGTCAATTAAGCTGAGCTTATTTAAGTAACTTTTAATTTTCTCTCATTGTTTTATTGGGTTGTCTTGAGTCTATTTTAGATTAAAACAACAGTAAAAAAGCAGAAAAAGAAAAAAAAATAATTTAATTAAAATAAAGGGAAAAAAGTCGATTTGAATGAAACGAGTCAATTTCCTCAAATCGTTTGCCGTCCTTTATTGGAACCCTCTTACACCACCTGTATAGTAATAATGTGCAAGCAAGTTAATGAATCATCTTTGGTTCGTTAAGAAAAATGAGAGAATTAAGAAGCTTTTAATCCATTAGTCCAAATAATGAAACAAATCATAGTTCTAACTCTAAGAACAGAAAATTGATAAAGGGTTGAAAAGTTTTCTATAACTATACAAAAATCATAAGAGATCACTGAGGGTAAAAAGGAACCAACAAATGCATAAAGAGAATAAGAGAAACTCAAGAATTGAAACCACATCTAGTATACATTTGAACAAACTTTTTTTTTTCCTTCTATTTCAATTCTTTTGAATATCTAGAATGTTTGTCCTTGTAATGCTGATATAAAACCTGCTTCAAATAAATTAACCTAAGATGAAATATATGTTTTACATTACTCACACACAAGATAAAAGGTTGAAAATCTAATTTTGTAACATGAATATGCATGTTGTTCTTATCGGAGATCGGTCGTAGGGACGATCTGCTAGGCAAGATTGGTGAGCCCCCTTCACTGGGTACGCTTGCTATTCCAAGGCGGGGGTGGTACCTGCAAAAGAGACTTTAATGCTAAAGTTAGTATTTGAGGGTGTATGAGTCTTGTATAAGTAATGCGCGTACCTTTGGGTGAATTAGGATTTCATTGGGCCTTGGGCCTGAGATCAGTTATGACCTATTTGGATGTCGGGCTGACGTCGCCTAGCACGTGTCCGAGGTCGTTCTACGCTGTGAAGCCGAGCTAGACCTCAGCTTAGCGGTACGGATAGTACACTAGTCCCCCGAGCTCCGAAAACCGTGGGTCGAGGAGTTAATGCCGAGCTCGCCAAGGGGCCGTGACTCTTCGCGTACGCCTTTCTCTCTTGATGCCATGTGTCATAACCGTCACTTCGTTCCCATAACGCGTGGGCGGAGTGTTAATGGGAAGTGACGGTTATGCAATGATGGGTACCCATCATAATGGGCTCCATTAATGTGTCGTCAGTGTTATTTTTCTCTCTCCACGTGTCGTCCATTTTCAAATTTTTGAGACTTCTTTTCTCTCTCTCTCGCGCCCTTCCCTCTTCACTTTACTCTTTTCCCTTTGGCTTGTTCTCGACGCCTCTTCACTTTCCTCCGTCCACCCTTCGTCCTCGTTTCTCTTGTCTCCGTTCTTCTCCATCGCTGTTTCCGGCAACCAAGTCCCCATCCTTCGTTAGTGTTCTTCCGTTTGTCAAAGGAGTACCAGGTACTTCGACTTCTCTATCTTCTTCTCCTTCTCGAATCTTTTCATCTTCTTGATGGCTGGAGGGAGTGGTGCCGCATCTTCTGCGCCAGCCAAAGGAAAAGACAAGGCGCGCGGCAAGGCGGTGGCCGTCGAGACGGCCGTTGCCGAAAAGAAAAAGGGTGGGAACCACCCTCGGGAACCTTTCCCCGTCATTTCTGGCTACGAATGGGTCAGGGGTGATGTCGGAGAGTTCTAGAGCGTCTTCAAGTCATTTCTGGAGATCAATGCGATGTGGAAATCGCATAGGATCTGCCAATCATCCATTTCTAAGCTCATCCGGCTTGAACCTTGTCAGCCCGGGGAGTGTGTGTACATGGGGGGTATCTTTAATCCCCCCCTTCTTCTATATGTACCAGTGTTTCTTTCGGGATTTAGGCGTGTGCATTCCCTTTACCCAATTTGAATGTGATTTTTTAAATTTCGTCAACTCGGCTCCTTGCCAGTTGCACCCCAATAGTTGGGGTTTTTTTAGGGCTTTTCGAGTCCTGTGCTCGACCCTAGGGATAGGGTTGTCTCTACTTGTTTTTCTTCACTTTTATCAACTGAAATTGGGCGTACCTCCCTATGGTTGGGTGTCTTTGAATGGGAGTAAGGCTAGGGGGTTATTTTCCCTCTATTCCCAGTCGTATAAGAGCTTTAAAAAGGATTTCTTCCGGGTTCTGCCCAAGGAGGTCGACCCACTAAAAGACGAGGTGTTCCACTTCGGCGGGTTGCCGAGGTTCCCACTCTACTGGCAGCAAGATCCGGTCAAGTTCAACGGGTCGGCCAACCTTTAATTGACGACCTCGGATGCTGCTGCCATAAAAGACCTAGAAGCGCTTCCGCGTCCCTTGGATTGCAAGCTCGTCTTGTCGCTTGCTAACTCGGCGTACAAGGAAAAGGGTCTAGAAAGTGAGTACCTCGTCAATTTTAGTTGTCAGGGTTTGTAAAATTTTCTTCTACTGATGTATTTGGCATTTGCGTTTGCAGGCATAATGGGAAAAAGCAAGTGGCGCGAGTTGAAGTATCGCTACAATGTGGCCGAGATTGAGGTCCACGAGCGTCTGGAGGAGGAGGTCGCCCCTCTGGAGACTCGCAGGAAAAGGAAGAGGGGGGAGAAGGAGGTCGGGGGAACCTCTGCCCCTCGAGATGCTGGAGAGGTGACCTCTAAGGCTGCCGATGCTGACCCTATTGACCTGACAGGAAGGCCTCCTCCTGAGGGATCGTCCCGAGCTGCCGCGGAGGAGGTTGCTCGTGAGGCGCAGGTTTGTATATTTTTTGTTGCTGACCATATTTCTTCCCCATTGTGTGGTTTTCTTGCTTTATACCTTAGGGAAGTTTTGTGTTTTTGTAGGCGGAGCCTGAGAAAACTGCCGCTGAGATTTGGGTGGAAGCGAGCTCGAAAACGCCAGGGCTGAACGCCCCTGTTGCCGTGCAGGCGGCCTCTGCCCCGACTCCCACCAAGGTCCGCGGAGAGGGTCCAAGCTCTGAGGTCTCAACGCCAACCCCTGCAGCCACAGCGCCGCCATCTCGTCCGTCGAAGGAGGCCCCCAAGGGTAAATACATCGCTCAATGCTTCGACAAGGATCGCCCTTTGACAAGGTTGGATCACGTGAGCGCGTCCTCGGATGTGGACTCATTGTGGAGTTCGGGGGTGACCGCGAAGACCTTCTACCCAAGGGGTTCGCTGTGCTCGGCTGATCAAGCGATGATCGACAAGGTCGGGCCAGTGGAGGTCCTTGACTCTGCTGAGGTCCTCATGTAGAGGGCGATGGCTATTGTGGACCACTAGAAGCATAGGTGGTCGAAACAGCAAGGGGACCTCGAAAAAGCAAAGAGTCGAGTCCAGCCTTTGGAGGAGGAGAATCGGGCGCTGGGGGCCACTCTGGGCGAGGCCAAGAGGCAGAACGAGGCCGAGCTTCAAGCTACGAAGAAAGATCTCGCGAGGGTCCAGAAGTCCTTGGAGATCGCCTTGAGGGCTAACGAAGTTTATGCTGCACAGGTTGGCGAGCTTCAGGAGCTCTCTACCTTCTCTCGGGGTAGAGTACGCTCCCTTGAGGATAAGGTCTCGGCGCTGAAGCCCGAACTGGGGAAGCTGCTGAGAGGCGTCTCTATGACGAGGTGCTTCTTAGTGGCAAAGAAGAGGAGGTCGTCGCTCTGAGGGCGGACCATGACAAGCTGGCCGCGGCTAAGGTGGAGTTGGAGAGGAAGCTTGTTGAGAATGAGCAAGCTGTCTAGCTGGAGCATAAGAAGGGCTTTATCAAGGCAGCTTGTCAAGCGAGGTTGCTGGCTCCTGGGGTTGACTTCTCACCCATGCATGTGGAGAAAGAGGTGTTGATGGCATCCTCACTTGCATGAACTTGAGATGATCAACAAAGAATAGGACGCCTTCTCCAAGGATCAAGTTCTTCAAAGGTGGCACAAGGTTTTAGGGTGGATAATGATGGAATGGACGAAAATGGAGGTTGGGTAGAAGGTGTTTGAGGAAATACTTGAGAAGGGTACTCTAGGGTTGGCTCACTTTATGATGATGAAGTCCACTTCTAGGGATGTTTCTCTCAAGGTGGAGATGGGAGGGAGGTGGCCGAATTAGCCAAGGGTGACTAAGGAAAGATATAAAGGCACAAAAGGCTCTCTTTATATTCAATATCCAAAGTATTTACAAGGTGTGGTGCCTAGGGTATTTATAGGAGTGGGAGGCATCTAGGGTTGCATTTAGGGTGCCAAATGCACACCAAATGAAACCCAAATTAACCCTAGATGCAACTTGGTGGCCAAGGATGGAATCTTTGGGTTTAGTTAGGCTACATCTAGGTGCATGATAAGACCATGCAACCTTTGCCCTCCACTTGGGCCTAAGCCTTTCTAAGTCCAAAAACCTCCACTTGGGCCTAAGCCTTTATAAGTCCAAAAATAGGTCCAAACACCACCAAAAATATTTCTAGCTCCCTAATTAAATACCTTAGCCCAAAATTAAAAACCTATGATCTAAAGTACCCCATAATACAAGGGTAAAATGGGAAATACAAAAGAAAATAAATCCTATGACTAAGATACCCCAAAATACAAGGGTAAAATAGGAAATTAAAGACAAGGGCAAAAAATAGGAATAAAAATAAATGCTATAAAAACTTAGGAGATAAGGCCCAAAAGTAGGCGTACTCCTCCTATGGTTTTTCAATACTAACCCATTCCTCTTGCCTCCTTCGATATATCACCTCTTGGTCTTCTTGGCCTTAGTGTTATTCCATCAGGTGCGCTTCGAGCGGCTGGTGAAGGAAAACGACCTCCCAGACAGCTCAAGTGAGAATGCCTCTGCCTAGGCCACTAGGTTTTGTAATAGCTTAGTTTATTTTGTTCACTCTTCTTATTTCCTGAACATTTGTATTTGTTGAACTTGTGTATATAATTTG